CGTGATTTTTATTGTGACTTGTTGCTATTTAAACAAATAAATTTATTTTGCCCTTTTCAATTTCATTGCTTTTGTAAATAACTATATCATTAGTATAATCCTCATTGTATCTTTTCGGGAACAACTCTATGGTAAAAAAAGAAAGAAAGAAAAGAAAACAAAAACGGACGAGTAAAGAGGCAGAGTGATAGGCGTAAGAAAAATAAACGGATGAGAAGAGAGAAGAAAATTTGTTTCCTTCGCCGTTCGTCCTCTGCCAAACGGTTCGCGTGCGAGGTTTGCATAAACTGATGTACAGGATTTACGTGCTGATCCCACCTGGATAGCGATAACACCAACAGTCTTCGATCTGGCGGAGCTTCCCGGGTTCCAGAGCGAGGCTATAGACAGTTGCCGCCCAGGACACTCGGTCGGAACATCTGGGGTCGCCGTTGTGTTTCATTGTGGCGTCCGTCGTGTTTCTTCTCTGATCTGATGATTCTGCGACTCCTGGCAACGTTGTTACTAGTCATCATGACGGCGAGGGGGATTACGTGCAAAGAACACGTTTGGCGGCGAGTCTTTGTGTCTCAATCACGCTTGGTTCCCCCTATTCACCGCCAGCGGTTCACTATTCCGCCTTCTGCCCTCCCGAGGAACCTGAGATGCTCCGCGGTGTGCCAGCTGCAGGAATGGTGCAAACTCTGGTGCCAAGACCCCACTGCACCCTTCACTGCTTGCTTGCTGTCTGATGTGATTGTCATGCCAGCGTATCAGGAGACTCACGCAGCCGACGTCTTAACCTGCTACACTCGACGCCATGTTGACTTCGTTACCAACGCGTCCATCGTGGGTTCGCCCGACAAGGAAGATTACCCATCAAGGAAAATGGAAAACCTTGTCGATGGATTCTATGGCTACACAATGAGCGAGTGCTTCCTGACCATAAGCACCAAGAATCCGTGGTTCACCGTCGACATATGCGAGGTAAAACCCATAAGCCTCGTGAGGATAATCTTCCAGAATAACATCAACGCCGAACTGCACACAGACTACGAGGTGCGACTGGGACGTGTCGAGGTGGCAGAACACGAGCTGCACAACCACACCCGCATGGGCTACTTTGTCGGGCCTGCGACTAAGGGCGAGGAGGTCGTGTTCAGCGTCCCCGAGCCCATCTTGGCGAGATACGTGACGGTGAGGCGGTTGGTGGTCGGCGAACTCCAGTTGTGTCACATTGAAGTGTACTGATGACCTGTGATTAATCTTGGGACAGGTTTGGGAGGGATTAGTTTAGGCGTTTAAGATTATTTGACAAGTATTGCTAAGTGTGATTATTTGTTTTACATAAGTACTTACACGAATGGTTGCTGTGGTCACCGGACATCAATTTCAATTACAAACTGATTCTTGATAATTCATTCTATACATCTGTACAATTCAGTGGTGATGTTTTATTCATATCACATATATATGACAAAAAATACGAATAATGTTCAGGAAACCAGGGGGCGGTATTCACGAAAAATTTGACTTTTCTTAGTGATTTTGTACATGATGTGCTCTGTTGCTACAGCTCAAATTTAATACTGATAATTATAATAAACATTCATATCGCTACATTCCCCTGTTTGATGATCTGTAATAATAACAAAACAAGGTAGATATTGCAATAGATCTTGCTTATATTATATCGATAATTTTGCAAATTTAAAATAGATTTATCGAAATTTTGTATTTTTTTAATGGAATACAGAAATCAAAATGTAGGAGACGGCTCAATGAATTCATAATTCATCAAAAAAGGCCTCGAAACTTTTCTTCTTATTTTCAAGGCAGAATAATTTTCAACAAAGAAAATTTGCATAAAAAACAAATTCAAGACCTTCCTTTTGGATAAGGCCACAATTAAAGACAGACTTAGTGTTTGTGAATAGAAAAAATCAGTAAAATAAAATAAACGACAAAATTAACGCTTAATATAAATCAAAATGGGCACTCAAGTTTTTCCCAGCATATTTGATACATAATTACCTCCAAATGTGTCCAAATTTCCATTGTAGTTTTAAAGGCACTCAGGCACCTGCAACACTTCCACAACTGTTCTAAAACTTCGACCGAGTCATAGACAAAAAATGCCTGTCAAAGAAATTTTCGTGGGAGTCAAATTTGCCGAGTCAAAGACAAGTGGAAGATCAATAATGTCAAATAGACTTTGGAGGCTCATTCTGATTAATAGTCAGCTATCACATTTAGATATAAATTTGTAAAAATACCGATATGATATAAACAAGATTTATTGCAATACTTACCTTGTCTTATTATAGTAGATTATCAAAGAGGGGTATGCAACAATAGAAATGTTTATTATAATGGCATTGAATTTGAAATGTGAAAACGCAATAAACAGACGAAAGGGCAGAAAGTCAGAGACCTTTGCAATGTGAAAACGCAATTAACATAGACGAAAGGGCAGAGAGTCAAAAGACCTTTTGTGAATATTTGCCCAGATCTTATGATT